CTGCCATGGGCAGGGACACCTTCCACTAGACCAGGTTGCTCCAAGCCACATCCAGCCTGGCCTTGAAGACATCCAGGGATGGGGCATCCACAACATCTCTGGGCAACCTGTTCCAGTGCCTCACCACCCTCTCTGTGAAGAATTTCTTCCTGACATCTAATCTAAACCTCCCTGATTTCACTTTATACCCATTACCCCTTGTCCTATCACTACCGGCTCTTGTAAAAAGTCCTCTCCCAGCACCCTTGTAGCCCCTTCAGATACTGGAAAGCTGCAATGAGGTCTCCTCGGAGCCTCCTCTTCTCCAGGCTGAACAAGCCCAGTTCTCGCAGCCTTTCGTCATAGGAGAGGTGCTCCAGCCCTCTGATCATCTTCAGTCACTCACTCATTTGCCCTCTCCCTTTTCTCCAGATGGGAGCCTTGTCCTTGGCATCATCGTTGCAATATTTGGAGTTATCTCTGTCCTCTACATTGTAAATAAAGTAGTGAAGCTGGTCCAAGAAAATGGGATGGTGTCATCTTTATACTCCTGTGGTGAGTACAGCAGCGTCTGCAGTGATATTAATTGGGATAGACATAATTTTGTGTGTGTTTGTGTGCACGTGTGAGAGGAAAAAGTGGGATCTCGTTACTCTGCTGTGTTGCAAAGCCAGAGGAACATGAGAACTTGACAGCTGAGTTTATTGGTGCAGTTCTTACAACCCTGCATCCTTGCCCATAGCTGTGACTGGAAGTATATGTGAGCTCGTTGCTGGGACACGTGCAGTTTGCTATAAAACCTTTCTGAGGGCAGGATGGTGAATAGCTGCTTTCCTGTTTTCTCTGGGACGAGAGGAAGTGAAAATAATTTCTGCTTTTTTTTCTTTTTTTCCCCTAGTTTCTTTGCCGCAGACAACCAAGGAGCCAGTATCTGAGGTGAGCAAGATGATGGATATAAGAGTTTTTCTTCCCCTTTCAACTATGTCAGCCTGGGTTCCAGATTAACATTTTTTCCCCACGGGCTGTTTTCAGGCCTTGTATTTTCAAATGAGCTGAGTAATAGGGCTGTTTGATTCCAAAGTCTTTTCCTGTAGAGGGTGGTGCCAAACATTTTACTTCCCCTCTTCTAGAAGACGCTTTCCAAACTCATGGCTTTTTGTTGTTTTCTTTCTGGATGCATTTTTCTTTTTTTTAGATAGCTGGTCCTTAATCCCTTTTTTGTCCCTACATACCCCAAGATTGGAGGATTTAACTGATTTTACTTCACTTCAGATCTTGACCTCACAAGCCTTTTAGTGCTGCTTCATGGTGTTCTCTCGTGTCCGGTGTTGTTCTGCAGTTAAGAGAGCCCAACAGCAGCTGAGGTGAGGTTTCCACAGCCTTACAGAGAAGGCTGACAGGAAAGGTGGCAGGTGGAGCTTCTAGAGTGGTGGTGATTTCATGTACCATCCTTACTTGATTTTTGCAGAGAAGTATTTTTTTCCAGACTACTGTTTTTTTGATGCCAAAAGAGATGGGTTCTGTTGGAAATAAATGTGTGTTGCTTTCTGCTCAAAACAGGCTTATAGGAAGCCTCAGCACCTGCTCCCTACCTGTCTTGGATACATTTTAGTATATGAATCTAGTGTTTCCTTGCAGGAGACAGACGTATTGTGCCATTGCGGGTGATTCTGCTCTAAGAAACTGTGTCTTTCAGGCTGAGGTAAAAAGAAGTGAAATTTCCATCCTTCTTCATGAGTCGCAGAAGGAAACAGAATTGCCAGTGAATGCAGCACCTGTACCTCTGCCGCAACGTTCACATGAGCTACCAGACTGTGTCAGACATGCCAGGAAGACACAGCTTCCAGACAGTAAGTGAAACTCCCACATCCTTCCCTCCTTCCGCAGGCAAACAAGAACCAGATTCTGCAGACGCAGCCAGGAGGATGTTGGACAGGCCTTGCCGGGTGTATGTGATCTGTGTGTACACTTCATGTGTGGCACAGTACCAAGGCAGAAACGTGCCCTGGGCCTGAGAGACTGCGTGTGCTACACATCTGTGCAAGGCCCTTCTGTTGTCCCTTTTCCCTACCGGCAAAATGGGTTGTCATGTGGTGGCATGTCGACAGGTTTAATGCCTCTGGGATAGTGACTCAAGAGCATTCTTTTTGCAGGGATGTGTGGCAGCAAGGCCCTAAGCATGTGTGCTCAGCTCTGCTCATAACCTTACACACGAGCATGCGGAAGCATTCCCACTGCTTTGTGAGGGATAAGAGCAAACCTGGACATCACACGAGACTGTGTGACTACTCTGTAGAAGACCTGAACAGAAAGAAGGGGGCAGGACCTGATCCCAAGGCATCATCCAGCCCTGGATTACTTGCGTTCTCCTTGAGGCTGCAGAATCCCGGTTCTCACGCTTTCTTTCTTCTCTTTTCACAGACCCTGCGATTCTCTACACTGTGGTGGGTCACGTACCGCCATCTCAGTGGAAGGAGTTTGTGAGGCGGCTGGGTCTGAGTGACTATGACCTAGAGCGAATTGAGATAGAGCATCGGCGTTTACGAGATGCCCAGTATGAAATGCTTAGACTGTGGAAACTGCAGATGGGCCACGCTGCAACTGTGGAGCACATCAGCTGTGTTCTCAATCAGATGGAGCTGAGTGGCTGCAGTGAAGCTATTCAAGAGGCTCTGCTAAACTACAACTCTCCTCAATCTTGCAGGCCCCACAGCAATCTTTCATCTACTTCTGCTTGAGTTGCCCTTGCTATGGCTGTTGAGAGAGGATTGTAACTCCTTCCCTTCCCTGTCTTCCTTTTCCCATATCTCCCTAGCTTTCTAACACTCCTCAGCTGGGTTTGTTGGAGACAGCAGCTGATCATGCTGGAGGAAGGCTGAGGTTTACTTCTGAACCACCGTGTAGTTCAACACCTGTAAGCCAAGACAGACCTCTGCAACAACTCCTTTCTGAGGGAGGGAAAGCACCTCATCAAGGAAGTGGCGTGCTGACTCTGACCAAGATGAAAACAGGAGCTTAGAGTGACTTGATGGATCAGCTGTTCTGAGGACAAGTTGTTGCTGCAACAGGTGCTCCACCCACCATGTGGTGGGTAAACTTGGAGGGTGACTTGATTAAGCTGGTGGTTGGGATGGTAAAGTACTCGCTCACTTTTTGCAGATCTCTTTTTATGCAAGATCAGGCGGTTGAACTGGCTCACATTGCAGCCCTTTGATTGCTAAACCTGACTCAAGGCAAGTGGTGGGAGGAAGTGCCTTGTTTCTGGGAGCAGGAGAAGATTGCCCTCTTTCGGTATCAGCTCATTATCGCCGTGGAAAAAGTTGTCTGAAAAGACATTCAGAAGTGGTGTCTCTGTGAGAAAGGGAGGAAGTTACCCTTTCCACATCCCCATTACCCTCAGGTTCGGGAGGAATACGGATTCCGAGCTGGCAAGTCGGTGCTTTTTTTTTTCCCCCCCCCTCAAGATTTTATTTTCTGTACCTAGAAACCATGTAAGATAGCATTAACCAAACACCTGCCCGTGTGTGTGTCCAAGCGCAGGGGAAGGGAACGCGTGCGTGCGTCTGGGTGAGAAGGCAGGCATGTGCCTGGTAGCGTGAGCGCCTCTGCGGATCTGTGCTCGCACACAGGTCGGTCGGCTTGTGTCTACCTGCTCATCCCTCTCTCTGAGCGATTCGCCGAGCCTGATCTAACTGCAAAGGGGACTGTGCATATGTATATACATATATATGTATTTTTAGCAACTGTTGAATAACTTCACACTACTTCCTGGACTGCATTTTGTGATTGCTACTTGGGTGTGGGAGCCATTCGGTCCCATCTCCGGGCTCTCAGGGTCACTTCCTCACGGTGTTACTCTGGGTGAAGCAGAAGTAGCGAAAATGAATTGGCCTGCATCAGGTGCAGGTTGTCCACATATTTGTCACGTGGATTTTATTTTTTAGTCTCTTGTCCCTTGACCAGAGAGAATCTTTCTATTGTAAATACACTACTCTCAATGAAAATTCATATTTTTGCCTCTGCTTTCCATTGTGGTTTTGTCTGTAACAGCTTTTCTCTGTGACTGTGGGTGAGGGAAGAAAAAGGGGAATAACTTCCAGAAGTGGCAAGAGTGGGCTGCCTGGACTTGTTCCTGTGTGATCTGCTCTAGGGGATCCTGCTCCGGCAGGGGGGTGGGACTAGATGGTCTCTAGAGGTCCCTTCCAACCCCTTCCACTCTGTGAATGGGTGGATTGATGGCCTGAGGATTTAAAAAAACAAACAACCAGGTCTTGGGAATTTCTGTATGTAAAGCTTAGCTGCCCTCAAGTCACAGGAAGCTGGCTGAGGGCAGAAAGTAGGACTGACATTAAATCTGGTTGTGGGTCTTCTCAGAGATTCAGGAGCCAAAGGAGATGGCAGCATATTTAAAGTGAATTTTTAAACAATATGCAATGAGTGATTTTGATTTGTATTTGGCTTTTTAAAGAGTAAAATATCTTTAAATAAACAATAATAGTAGATTACACTTTAATGCTGACCTTAGAGAAGCATGTTTCTGAGAATCCAAAGCACTGTGTAAAGCAGTCAGGACTCTCCCTACTCCACCGATGAGAAAACTTGAAACTTGGAAGTTCGTGACTGTCGGTGACAAAGCCAGGAACTGCAGTCTGTTTTAATTCCCAGTTTGAGGCTTTGGTTTGCTACGCCTACATACTATTTTAATTGAGGTTGATTTTTTTAATCAAAGGAGACAGTACAAAGCTCATTGTAATATGAGCTTTTCTCTCCCCAAAACAAACCACATAACACATCATGTAACTTTTTCTTTCATGATTTACGTTCAACAAGCACAGCAGTATGGTAACTACTAGAAAGACATGCTCTAGATGTGAAACTGTGCTTAAAGTAGGGAAATTCTCATAGTTCTCCTCCAGGTATATCATCAGCTTTTTTAATTTTTTCTTTTCTCTCCCCACAACAAACCACATAACACATCATGTAAAATCTAGGCATTTTAAAGTTCACCGTGCCAGGTAAGCCACAAGCAGCAGGCCCCAGGCTGCTGCTCTGTTGTCAGTGACCTTATGCACCCGTTACACAGAAATCCATGAAGATGAGGTGTTGCAGAGAATGTTAAAGATCTCTTCAAGGTAACTGATGTGGTTTGACCCCAGCCGGCAACTGAGCACCACACAGCCGCTCGCTCACTCCCCCACCGCGGGCATCAGAAGAGTGAAAGGGGGGACACTTGTGGGTTAAGATAAAGACAGTTTAACAGGTAAAGCAAAAGCCGTGCAGGCAGGCAAAGCAAAGCAAGGAATTCATTCCTCACTTCCCATTGGCAGCAGGTGTTTGGCCATCTCCAGGAAAGCAGGGCTCCGTCACACTTAGCAGTTACTGGGGAAGACAAACGCCATCCCTCTGAACATCCTCCTTTCCTTCTTCTTCCCCCAGCTTCATATGCTGCGTGTGATGTTACATGGTCTGGGATATCCCTTTGGGCAGTTGGGGTCAGCTGTCCCAGCCGTGGCCCCTCCCACGTTCTGGTGTACCCCCAGCCCACGCACTGGAGGGATGGGCTGTCCCTGACCCTGTGTCAGCACTGCTCAGCAATCACGAAACCGGCCCTGTTTTACCAGCACTGTGTTCAGCACAAATCCAACACAGCCCCACACCAGCTGCTCTGAAGGAAACGAACTCTGTCCCAGCCAAGGCCAGCACAGTAACGAAGGCGGCTTGGGCCACACGCGTGGACATGGCAGCAGAGGCTCCTCACACTGCCCAGTCCGGGTCAAACAGGGCAGCTGCGGAACTTAGAGCTGTTTACATCATTTCTTTTGTGTCTTTATGGCTCACTCCGTATCTAACTGATGCGATAATACCCGGATGTAAAACATTTAGACTGTAAAATGCGTTGGTCCCTTCTCCATTCGGGCGATTCCTCCCCGGGCGCTCTGGGCCGCCGCCTCCCTGGCCCCACGGTGGGTTATGGTCTGAGCGGGGAGCTGCCCGGCTCCCC